CCTGACCTGACTCCCCTGGTTCACGTGTGTGTACTATGACCCGTGCCCCCAGTCTGACCTGACCTGACCTGACCTCCCCTGGTTCACGTGTCTGTACACTGACCCGTGTCCCCAGTCTGACCTGACCTGACCTGACCTCCCCTGGTTCACGTGTGTGTACTATGACCCGTGTCCCCCAGTCTGACCTGACCTGACCTGACCTCCCCTGGTTCACGTGTGTGTACTATGACCCGTGCCCCCAGTCTGACCTGACCTGACCTGACCTCCCCTGGTTCACGTGAGTCTGTACACTGACCTGTGTCCCCTAGTCTAACCTGACCTCCCCTGGTTTACGTGTCTGTACTCTGACCCGTGTTCCCTGACCTGACCTGACCTCCCCTGGTTCACAGCTCCGTCCTCGGGCGCCGCCCCGGCTCATATCATCAAGGCCGGCTCGGTAACGCCGCCCGAGCTGAGCTCCTGTAAACTGGCGGCACCGCCGCAGCGGGGACACCGGAGGAACGTCTCTGACACGAGCACCTTCAACAAGTAGGGCAGCCTGTTCAGTAACTGGGCTGGGTACTGTTGGGGGGGGGGAGGGTCCGACACGAGCACCTTCAACAAGAAGGTTGAGTGTTTCTTCCCACCAGGCTCCATGTGACCTCCGTGACCTCCATGTGATGACCTCTTTGAATATACCCTATCTGCAGCCAGCTTGCCACATTTGGGCCATGTAATCCCTGGACATTGCGAACTCTGGCCTATTCAAGACACTGGCCATTTCGACACTGGCCAAATCGTACCCTGGGGCTGGACATTATGAACCCTAGCCAGAATGAATGCTCCCCCTCCATATGATGGCACCTTCTTCTGTTGCTGTTTTCCAGGACTCTGATGTCAGAGACGACTCAGTTCCTGGCCCCTAATCAGGTGGACCGGCCGCGACCGGTGGCCAACAGATCGTCTCAGGTCACCGACCCCGGCCAGAGGTCGCCGCTTGAAGTCAGCCAGAGGCCACACACACATCTCTCCGGCAGCGCGTCGCAGGTATGAACGCGGCGGGCGGCGTAGGAGCTGGTATAGTGTACAGTGTTAGTGAATGGACATTGGCCTGGCCGAGATGGTTGAGGTTTACCTGCTGTAGCGGTAATGCTCAATTTTGTAGCTCCTGTCTGTTGCTAGTCTGTACTCTTTAGCATTGCGGCCGAAAAAGGGTAACTATCAAGGCGTGCCAACTTAGAGGACACTCTGAGGTAATGACGTTTACGCCTTTCAATGATGCCTTCAGTTGAAGAAATAGTATACAACTTAGATAAAACTTCGTTGTACTTCGTTGTAAGTTCGTTGTAAGAAATAGATAAAACTTCGTTGTCAATTGTTTCATGTGGCTTGAGAATGAACTGTTTTTCGAAAATTTGCCAAACAATATAATATTTGCTTTTTATTGCATTTTCAATTAATTATCGAGGAAAACGTCATTTGAAATTCTAACTACGTCATTTGAAATTCTAACTACAGATAAATACAGCCTTCAGTTGAGTTGACTCCCCCGAGAACCATTATCGCTTCTCAAAAGCAAGCCTCGGTTCTTCTTCTCACCGGCTGTCCCCGAGTCAAGTATACGTGTTAGCCGTTAGTCGTCGTCCATTGACCTCACCACCTCCACTGAAGTATACCCCTCCCGCGCAGACTCTGCCCCCGCCGCCGGCTCGCAGCGGTCTCTGGAACCCGTTCGAGTGGTCCACACCGGCCCCCGGGGTGACGCGCGACCCCGCGGCGCCACCGCCAGGTGAGGTGTGACTTGTGATAGTAGAGAGGCCTGTCTAGTACCAAAAGCTCAAAAACTCAAACATCTAAACGCTTGAAAGTACTATAGGGTAGAAGCTCTAAAGCTCAAAAGATCCAGAGATTTATAGTTTGGGAGAACAAAGGCTCTCAACTTCAAAAGCCCTAAAGCTAGACAAAAATTCCAAAGATCAACAGCCCCAATTAAATTAAAGCCCCATTGTTAAAAAATTACAAAGCTCACAAGCTGCAAGGCTCACAAGATCTATAGCTCAAAAGCTACAAGGATCAAAAGCTCTTGAGATAAAATGCTCTAAAGCTCAGAAGCTCCATTGCTCAGTAGCTCCAATGCTCACAGGTTCTAAATATGAGTTCCAAAGTTCACAGATTCCAAATGTTACAAGCTCCAAAGTTTACAA